GATGAAACCAAGTTTGTATTTTAACAAATTCTATCTGCATCATCCCCATCATTCGCTCTATGTCTTTACCCAAACCAAAATATGTTGTATCATCTGCAAACAGAATGCATTTCAAAAGTCCCGACACATTTACCAAGTCATTTACATACAAAATAAACAATTTTGTTCCAAGTACAGAACCTTATGGAACTCCACATGTGATGTTACAAAGGTCAGATCTTACATCATTTACTTGCACAAACTGTTTCCTATCCTTCAAACAACTCGATACCCATTGTAGTGCTGGTCCTCTGATACCACATTGATTCAGCTTTCCAAGAAGAATGGTGTGGTCAATCGTGTCAAATGCCTTCCTCAACTCAACACAAACACTAACACAGCATTGCTTCTGATCAACAGCAGTTGTTATTGGCTCCATTAATTCCATTAGAGCCATTGATGTCGACCTATTTGTCCTAAACTCATACTGAGTGTTATTTAAAAAATTTTGTTTATCAATAAATTGATCTAATCTGTTTACAAATAATTTCTCCAAAATCTTTGAAAACTTGGCAACAAGGAGATTGGTCTATAGTTTGTGAACATGAATTTCTCACCATTCTTATAAAGGGGAATTACCTTGGCTATTTTCATGTTATCTGGAAATATTCCAGTTGAAAATGATAAATTACATATATATATGTAAACGGCTGAATAACACAACCAGTAATTCCCTTTACAAACATCATATCCATTTCCACCCAATCTTTAATCTTTTATCTGCAAGATTTTTAACAACATTTAAAATTTCTTCTTTATCAGTTTCACCAAGAAAAATACTGTTTGCACAACCCATGACTGCATGCTTTATATTGTCTGCTTTTGGTATTGTCGATGCAAGACTTGGACCAGCATTTACAAAATATTGATTAAATTCATTTACGATCTCATTTTGATCATAAATTTCCTTATCCTCCTTTACAAAATACTGTGAAATACTTGACTTTATCGTATGACTTTTCAAGACATGATTCATTATTCGCCACTCATATCGCGTTCATATCACTCATATACTTGAGTGAAGGTAAAAGTATCTAACCATAAAATTACTTTAGTAAAAGGTAGAGTCTAGGAATTTGTACTTTAGTAAACTGTTGAGTTGACTTGAGTTGACTTTTACTGTATACTTTATCTATCAAAAGTGAATTTCTGATGTAAAATGTTCTTCAAATTAAAAGTACTAAGTAAAACTGAGAGGTTAGAATTTCAAAATGACATTTATTGGTAGGATGACCTCCATAATGACTAATGTTACATTAAAATATCGATGATGAAAACTTTTGGATACAATGTTTCAGGCTCACACACACACACACACACACACACACACACACACACGTAGGCAACTGTCGTCTTCATAGGCTACACATCTCTGATATGAGCTTTTGAAGTGTGATGTCATACAAGTGAGATGAAGCAAATACAAATCAATAAGGTATCTTAGTGGTTTATATTTATACTTCTCATTCAGCCACAATTAAATTCATTATCTGGGTGGTACGGTTTCTCTGGATTTCTTTTTTTTTTTTTTTACCATAATCAGTCCGAATAAAACAAGCCTAAATAAATTTAATGAGTAGAGAAGAAGGAGGTGTAAAAAGGCCTGGAAAGCCAAGACACCAGCTGAACTCTCTCAGCAATTAGAAAGCAAGCCTGCCCCTTGT